GTTGCAAGTTTTGGCTTGATCTTAATTTTTTTTTCCTTAGATGCCTTTGGAATCTCTTAGAATCATATAAGCATTTGTGGTCATTTGAATTCAAAACACAGCCTTCATTGGATTTGCTAGACATGATGGCTTTGGTCCTTTAATTCTCTCTGGAGGTCAAAGAGCCCATCTAAGCTTCCCAAGGAGACACGTTTCCTTTGTCATGCTTGGTGCGGCCACACCAACCCTCCAGAACAGGTGACCCCGCGGAGATGCTGTTGCTTCAGCATCAGACAAGCCGGGTCTCCGTTGGGGTCTCAGAATCTTCTTGAGTCCCTCCCTCCTTTCTCTCCATTCCACATGGGGAGAAAAAGGAAGGCGAGTTCTCAGAAGGAATGCTCATCACGCAAGCTGGAGTTCGTGTGGAAAACGCATCCATTCGAAAGACAGCACACAAGTGCCTTGCTTCCCTGCACCGGATATTTCCACCATTGTCCTCCTCATCCTCCCCATTAGGGAGGAACAGCCCCCTGGGTCATGTGTGGGCTGTGGCTTCACTGAGGCTCCTACACCCCAGTTCCGGGGAAATTCACTCTAAGGCCTTCAGCTCTCACAGAGTAGGGAAATGCACTCACCTCAAATTAGATCACAAATTGGCTGGGTGCAGTGGCTCACACCTGTAATCCCAGCACTTTGGGAGGTTGAGGCGGGTGGATCACCTGAGGTCAGGAATTCTAGACCAGCCTGGCCGACATGGAGAAACTCTATCTCTACCAAAAATACAAAAATTAGCCGGGTGTGGTGGTGGGCACCTGTAATTCCAGCTACTTGGGAGGCTGAGGCAGGAGAATCACTTGAACCCAGGAGGCAGAGATTGCAGTGAGCTGAGATTGCGCCATTGTGCTCCAGCCTGGGCGACAGAGCGAGACTCCGTCTCAAAAAAATAAAAAAGTACAAACAGCCTGCTCAGGGAGCCCCTCACACTCAGAAACACTTCTTCCAGGGAACTTTCCTTCCTCTCTGAACCAGCTGCCAATAACTGCTAACAACTCATAGTGCTGTGCTTTATGGCTCTGATTCCAAAGACATCGGCAAGAGCCACGGAGCAACGAAAGGCTCCAACCTCATACTTCTTTCTGAGACAGGATCTTGCTTTTTCGCTCAAGCTGGAATGCAGTAGCACGATCACGGCTCACTGCCTCAGCCTCCCAAGTGGCTGGGACTACAGCCACGTACCACCATGCCAGTCTCATTAAAAAAATTTTTTTTCATAGAACAAGGTCTCATTCTGTTGCCAGGGCTGGTCTTAAACTCCTTGGTTCAAATGGTCCTCTGACCTCAGCCTCCCCACGCGCTGAAATTACAGGTGTAAGACACTGTACCTGGCCTCCCAACCCCATACTTTTTTTTTGTTTTTTTGAGACAAGGCCTCACTATGTTACCCAGGATGGAGTGCAGTGGCACGATCTTGGCTCACTGCAACCTCTGCCTCCCGGGTTCAAGTCATTCTCTTGCCTCAGCCTCCCGAGTAGCTGAGATTACAGATACCACAACCAGCTAATTTTTGTATTTTTAGTAGAGACACAGTTTCACTATGTTGACCAGGCTGGTCTTGAACTCCTGACCTCAAGTGATACACCCACCTCAGCCTCCCAAAGTGCTGGGATTAGAGGCATGAGCCACTGTGCCCGGCCTAATTTTTGTATTTTTACTTTTTCTCCAAATGGTCAGGCAACTGGATAATTTTTGTATTTTTAAAGACCAAGTTTCACCCTGTTGCCCAGGCTGGTCTTGAACTCCTGAGCTGAAGCTATCCGCCCACCTCAGTCTCCCAAAGTTCTGGGATTACAGGTATGAGCCACTGTGCCCCGCCCAATCTCACACTTTTAAAGCTGTTGTTCCAGCATGATTCCTTAAGCACAGGCAGACCACAGCAGGCAGGACCTACGGAGGCCTGAGCAGAATTTACTGTTCCCTTTTTGCCGCCTCACTCTGGACCCACCTTAGGGTGGCCTTTTTCAGACTTCTCTTCCTGGTTCAGTTCATCCACCAGAGACATGGCTCCATTTGCTGAGACCCCACCAAAATAAACATTCACGGAGTGGCTGGGTCTTTTGTTGTAACCTCCTTAGGTGGAGGAAGGGAGAGATGTGCCGAGGTTCTGTTTGGTGTTTCTACCTGTCAACAGAGATATCACGTTAAACATTAACAACCATGCCTCCCCGTTAGTAAGCAAGACAACTAACTGGAACTAGACTTCTTACACAAGTGAGAGATGATCTCAGCAGATGCGGCAACAATGCCTAAGTCCAGTGTCTTAGAAATAACATTTGCCCAGGGCCAGGCATGGTGACTCATGCCTGTAATCCCAACTATTTGGGAGGTTAAGGCAGAGAATCACTTGAACCCAGGAGATGGAAGTTGCAGTGAGCTGAGATTGCACCACTGCAGAGTGAGACTCTATCTCAACAAAAAGAAAGGAATGACATTTGCTCAAACAGTTCATCTTGGCCTTTTTGGAGTTGTCCGGGAGAATGTTTTGTTCTTCTGATCTTGCTCAGAAGTCTTTTGCCAACAGCTAGGATGGCCTGGAGGTTTTTTTTTTTTTTTTTTGAGGCAGAGTTTTGCTCTTGTCACCTAGGCTGGAGTACAATGGCGCTATCTCGGCTCACCGCAACCTCCGTCTCCCAGGTTCAAGTGATCCTCCTGACTCAGCCTCCCAAGTGGCTGGGATTACAGGCGTGAGCCAGCACACCCGGGTAATTTTTGTATTTTTAGTAGAGATGGGGTTTCTCCATGCTGGTCAGGCTGGTCTCGAACTCCTGACCTCAGGTGATCCGCCCGCCTTGGCCTCCCAAACTGCTGGGATTACAGGGATGAGCCTGTAATCCGCTCCCGGCCAGCCTGGAGTTTTTAAGGCTAGGTGCTGGGATTCTGTTGGTTAACAGTAATGGGAGGGAAAAAGGAAAAGAAATCCAAAATTTACTATATGGACAGGAAAAGGGTAGAAAGAATAGAAGACAGGGGCACACAGCAGTCTGCCTCTGTCACCCCCCCACGTGGGCTGTGTGAGATGAAATGAGATCATGATACAAGCTCTTGGCCCCTGGAATGTAAGAAGTACTCAGTAAATGCTTAGCCATTACAATTATGTGTGCTTGGTACCTGGTACACAATAGGTGCTCAATAAATCTTAATTCCCACTAAGACCAGTCTAACCTTTGTCTGGGGGTGGCTGGTGGCTGCTGGTGGGTGGTGGTTAGTCACAGGAAGTACTGAATGAGACAGCAGTCAAAGCCAGATCCCTCTCCCCACCCGACCGCAAGATCCTCATGAGGCAGAATAGAGCAGTGTTAAATCATCCCCATTTCTCAGAAGGGGACACTGAGGCCCTGAGAGTCACTTAGGGCCCTTCAGCCAGCTTGCAGTGGGGCCCCTGGCTCTCCCACATCTCCACCTGTTGGAGGTGGGAGAGAGGGGTGGGGTGCTGGCAGTGGGACAGTCCCTCAGAGGAGTGGCTGCATTTGCTCATAGGAAGTCCGAGGCAACGGGGGCCTTCCAGACCCAGGACGAGGGACGGTCACAGCAGCCCAGCCAAGGCCAGAGCCAACTTCTCCGAAGACAGTCCAGCCCTGCCCCCAGCAGGCAGGTGAGCACTGCCAGCTGTACGGGGCCCCGTACCCCAAGGGGCAGCCACTGTCTCTTCCTGCCCCGTGGGAGCCAGGCAGGGGTCCTGGACAGGAAGATCTCTATGAAAGGGTCGGAGTCCAATCATGAGTATCTGGCTCTCCCCTCTTCCCAAGGGCCAGCAGTTCTTGGCAAATGCACAAGATTCCAGACCCCACATTAGTCCTTTGAAGACAGCCCCCTTCCTTCACTGCATGCTGCTGTCTGTTTTTTGAGGTGGAGTCTTGCTCTGTCTCCCAGGCTGGAGTACAGTGGCGAGATCTCAGCTCACTGCAACCTTCGCTTCCCAGGTTCAAGAGATTCTCCTCCCTCAGCCTCCCAAGTAGCTCGGAGATTACAAGCACATGCCACCAAACTCAGCTAATTTTCGTACTTTTAATAGAGACGGTTTCACCATATTGGCCAGGCTGGTCACTCCTGACCTCAGGTGATCCACCCACCTCGGCTTCCCAAAGTGCTGGGATTACAGGGGTGAGCCACCATGCCCGGCCAATACTGTTCTCTTCAGCAGCTTTCAGGGAAAGCCTGATGCATCAATCTGGCTCTAAGTGCCCTCTCTTTCAGGGTGATTTGTATCTTTCACAAAACTCAGAGGGCCAGGCTCACCCCAGGGGAATGGGGTGTTGGTGGAAGTTCTGGCACCTGATAGCCCCAGCTGGAATCGGTATCTTCAAGAGAGAAGCCAAGAACAAAACAGATCTTTGCAGATCTTTTTCTGGAACTGAGGAAAACGGGTGAAAGGGATGAGCTGACCCCCCAGAGGGGGGCCCAGGGACCCTGTGTGCTTTTGATGCAGCTCTGATTCAGGCTGCTGTGCGGACACAGCCTTGCCTCCCTGGGGGCCTGGCTAAGAAAGGCAGAGCTGGCAGCCAGGTCCTCAGAGAGAGAGCCTCACCCACTCCCTCACCTCGTCCCCAGGTGACCAAGCCCCCTGCCAAACAAGCAGAACTGGCCCAGCGGAGCCAAGCAGAGCCCCCTCATCCTCGGAGTCCTGAGAAGAGACCGGAGGGAGATCGGCGGTTCCAGGGGTCCCCGCTGCCTCCCAGGACATCAGCCAGGACCCCTGAGAGGGAGCTGCAGACACAGAGACCTCTGGAGAGTGGCCAAGCAGACCCAAGACAGCCTCTGGGGGCATGGCAGAGTCAGGAGGAGCTTCCAGGGTCCCAGGGCCCTCACAGACACCTGGAGAGGAGCTGGAGTGGCCAGGAGGGAGGCCTGGGCCCTGGGGGCTGGCGGGGATGTGGGGAGCCCAGCGTGGGGGCGGCCAGAGCCTCAGAGGGAACATGGGGGGGGCCCTCCCAGAGAGTACCAGGAGAGCTGGGGGCAGCCAGGGACCTGGGAGGAGAAACCCACCCATGAGACCCCCAGAGAACTAGGGAAAAGCAGCTTACCCATGAGCGCCCCAGAGAACTGGGGAGGCCCTGCAGAGACCTCGCAATCTTGGCAGCCTGGGACACCCACTGCCGTGGGCCGGGGGGCAGAGGGAGCTTGTCCATACCCACATGGCCCTGAGAGGCAACCTGAGCTTGACTGGAGGGACCTGCTGGGCCTTCTCCGGGCACCAGGAGATGGGGCCTGGGCCCATCTCCCCAGGCTGGACTGGGAGGGCCTCTTGGAGCTCCTGCAGGCCAGGCTGCCCCACAAGGACCCAGCTGGACACAGGGGTGACCCGACCAGGGCTTCAGGGCCAGAGCCGGGTCCCGCAGGCACAAAGGATGCCCCAGAGCAGGACTCACACAGGCTGTGTGCGGAAGGCCAGGCTGAGGCCACCCCAGTCAATGGATATAGCGCTGCACCACAGCCCCAGAGCCCCGCCCAGCCTCCCAGCCCTGCCTGCACCTCCACCCAGTGGCCAAAGACCAAAGTGACAAGAGGACCAGCGACTGCAACTCTGACCGGTCTGGAGCAGACGGGCCCCCTGGGGAGCAGGAGTCGTGCAGAGAGCCCCAGCTTGCCAGAGCTGCAGGTAAGGAGGGTCAAGGGTCCCACCCTCCCAAAGGTAGCCGGAAAGTCAGCCCCACCCAGCCAAATCTCCTAGGAAAGCCTCCCTGTGAGTAGCCTGAGCCCCTGCGTCCCCCAGGCCTCCCTGCTGACCACAACCCATCCCAAACACCAAACTGGCCCAACAGTGATAATGAGCAACCGTTTTAAGCATTTGTGGGCCAAGCCCTGACCTGAATGTTTGCTGTGTACTTTTCCCATTCAGACTCCTTAGCAACCAGGTGAGAAATACACTATTTACAGATAAGGAAACTGAAGTGCAGGGTGAAGCCACTTGCTGGTGGGGGATGGGCAAAACCCAGGTCTGCTCAGTGCAGACCATGCTGAGGCCTCAAGCAAGATGCTCTGGCCAGGGCCTGCTCCCCTCCCGGCTCCACCGTACCTGGTCGACGTTGTTTCTGGTGGCACACAGCTGACCCCTCCTGGGACCGTAGCCAGTGCGGTCATGCCCCTTCCCCTGGTGGTTCCCAGGTTCCTGAGTCCAAGACAGCCTGGCTTACCCTCTCTGGCCCCTACAGCTCCTCTCAGACACAGAGGTGCGTCAGTGCTCACTGGGTCCAGCTAGCTCTCAAGACAGCTGCTTAAATGAGGGCTGTGTGCAAAGTAGGCCCAGCGCCAGGCACACAGTAGGTGCTCACCCTTCCCCTGGTTCAGTGGTACTTTGGTGCTACCTTGAAGTCCAGAACATTCTTCATCTGAAGATGGTAGGCAGGGAGGGTCCTGGAGGCCAGAGTCCCACAGCCTGGTGACAGCTCATTGGAAGGACGGCACATGGTTTTGAACATCAGTCTCTCTCCTTCTATAAGATGGACCAACCTCAGCCAGGCGCGGTGGCTCACGCTTGTAATCCTAGCACTTTGGGAGGCTGAGGCGGGCAGATCACCTGAGGTCAGGAGTTCGAGACCAGCATGTCCAACATGGACAAACCCCATCTCTAAATACAAAATTAGCCTGGCGTGGTGGCACACACCTGTAATCCCAGCTACTCGGGAGGCTGAGGCAGGAGAATCACTTGAACCCGGGAGGCGGAGGTTGCGGTGAGCCGAGATCACACCATTCCATTCCATTCTGGGCAACAGAACAAAATGCTGTCTAAAAAAAAAAAAAAAAAAAAAAAGATGGACGAAACGTTTCTCTGACAGGCAGCACTGGGGTGCTGTGGGGGTTCCTGCTTGTTCCTCCAAAGCCTCCTCATCTCCTAGATGCAAAGTTCGATGTCACCTCTCCCAGGATGAGCAGGGCTTTTGGGCATTGGGGGGTACCATGTGCTGGGCCCCGGGCCTTGGCATATGTGCCTCAGGTGGATAGGAGGTAGTTGCCACCTGACAGATGAGGAAACTGAGGCTCAGACTCCTTCGGCATTTGCTTGGGGTCAAACATGCATAGGTTGTGAGAAATGAGATCAAAGCGTCCACTCCAAGGTTTGTGCTTTTAACCACCATGTCACAAAGCTCCTGAGCCCTTTGGGAAGGCTAGGGAACCCTCTCCCCTGTATTTCCCTGTGGCTTTCATGAGTTGACCCTTTGATCAACTCATGTATGGACACCAGAGAAGTACGGAAAAGTCAGCTTGTCCTGCCTTCAGATTTGTTGGGAAAGCACACAAACCACAGGCAGCTCAGGGGGGACATAGTTCTGTGTCCCAGGGCATGCTTGGTGCTGCGGGCCACCCAGGTCAAGAAGGAAGTGGGAAACCAGTTAGAAAGATTCTTCAGTGGCTGGGCACGGTGACTCACGCCTGTAATCCCAGCACTTTGGGAGGCTGAGGTGGGCAGATCACAAGTTCAGGAGATTGAGACCAGCCTGGCCAACATGGTGAAACCCCATCTCTACTAAAATAGAAAAAATTAGCCAGGTGTGGTGGCACTCGGCTGTAGTTGTAGCTGCTTGGCAGGCGGAGGCAGGGGAATCGCTTGAACCTGGGAAGCGGAGATTGCAGTGAGCTGAGATCGCACCACTGCACCCCAGCCTGGCAACAGAGCAAGGCTGCCCCTCAAAAAAAAAAAAAAAAAAGGAAGGAAGGAAGGAGGAAGGAAAGAAGGAAGAAAGAAAGGAAGGAAAGAGAGAGAGAGAGATTGATTCTTCAGTTTCATAGTGAAGCTCAGGATTCTCAGGAGACTGGGAGCTGGTGGCAAGGAAGGCATAGGAGTGCCACGAACTGAAAGGTATTTCACAGATGACAAAACGAGGAACCACCAGGTCCTGCCAGGGCTCCAGCTCCTCCCTATGAAAATCCTTGGCATGGCATTCAAGGCCGCCTTCCCATCCTTCCACCCCGGATTTGCCTCATTGGTGTTGAGCTGGCTGCAGGGCCTGTGAGCACATATCCCTGCCTTTGCGCATGCTGTTCCCATTGCCTTGGATGCCCTTCCCTCCCCTCTTCAGTCACCACACGTCTGCTCATTGTTCAAGTCATAGATCAGGCACCCAGTCCTGAGAAGCCCTCCCTGAACAGTCTCTCCTAGTGACGGTCCCCTTCTGGGCTTGGCAGTTTTGCTTCCCTCATCTGTCCGTGTCTGTCCATCTAATGGGGCTGTCATCTTCCCAGAAGCTCCATGGGGGCAGCAGCTCTGCCTGCCCTTTTTTTTTTTGGTGGGGGGGATGGAGTCTCACTCTGTCGCCGAGGCTGGAGTAAAATGGTGTGATCTTAGCTCACTGCAACCTCTGCCTCCTGGGTTCAAGCGATTCTCCTGCCTCAGCCTCCTGAGTAGCTGGAACTACAGGCGCACACCATCACACCTGGCTAATTTTTGTATTTTTAGTAGAGACGGGATTTCACCATGTTGGCCAGGGTGATCTCCAACTCTTGACCTCGTGATCCACCTGCCTCAGCCTCCCAAAGTGCTGGGATTACAGGCGTGAGCCACTGCTCCTGGCTAAGCTTTGCCTGCTTTATGTCTGTACCTCTGGCTCTGGCCCAAGGCCTGACATAAAGGAGGGGGCAGCTCATTGGACACATGCAAGATGGAGGACAGAGGGGTCAGTGGGTGGACACCGGATGGAGGATGAATGGGCGATGGATCAGTGATGCATGTTGGATGGATGACAGATGGTGATGACGGGTGGATAGCTGGGTGATGAATGAATGGTGCATCTATGATGGATGTTGCTTAGGTGATGGACGGATGAAGGTCGGGTGGAATATGGATAGATGCTGTATGGATGGATGGATGTTGGATGATAGATGGTGGACAGACAGATGTTGGATATATGGGTAGATGGAGGATGGATGGAGAGAGGTATACACAGGCATTGGGTAAATGGACACGCGATGGATCAGTGGAGGGCAGGTACACGCGTGGGTGACAGACAATGGACGTTGGATAGATGAGGGGTGAGTAATGAGGGACAGACACTGGATAGTTGGAGGGATACACGGATCTACTGATGTTAGATGGATGTTGCATGGACAGATGATGAGTGGATAGAGGAGAAGGTGGACAGATGGATGCATCCTGGAGAATAAGCTGGGCTAAGCTGTGCTCTTTTTTTAAACTCCAGTTCCAACCAGAGGAGCCTGAGGAGTCAGAACCAAGCGGAGGCCAAGACCCCCTGACTGACCAGAAGCAGGCCGACTCGGTAGTTGGGTCATGGGCATGGGGACATACAGAGGGGAAGGAAGGGGACAGCAGGTTGGAGATGGCTGTGTTCCTCAGGAGAGCCCTGGAAGCATCTAGAGCAAAGTTGGCTTTGCCATGGGGTCATCTGTGTGTGTGGCAGGGCCTTGAGGGGCTCTGGAGAGCCACCTTCTGGCTTGGGGACCTGGGTAGGTGGGCCATCCTGAGGTCAGAACCCTAGGCCATGCTTCTCATTTGCTGGGGCCGAAAAGGTCAGTGTCTTTCCCTGGGCAAATGATGGTTTGGACTCAGTGGTCTCTGAGGGAAGAGATCCTTCTGCTTTGAGAGGGCCAGGCGAGGCTGAGAGAGGTCAGGGCTCCCAGGGGCAGGAGTCGGAGCTGAGCATGTGCCCGTGGTCAGCCGGGCCTGGAGCGTCTCCAGGGTCTGGGAGGCAGGAGAGAGATGTGTGGGGGTTGGACCCACGGAGGCTGCTCGGAGGCCTGGCTGCAGCTGGTGAGCACAGCTCTGCCCGCCCCACCGTGACCTGCCAAAGACTGTTCTCATCACCCTCAGCCTCCAGAGAGGTGAGATCAGAGCTGAGGGCCGTGGGGCAGTGGGAGGCAGGGGAGGAGGAGACAGACTGGGGCTGTGTTTTCCGGTCCTGCTCTTCCCCCCACCACCTCCTGAAAAGCCAGGTGTGGCAGGCAGCATCTGTCAGGCAGCCTGGAGCCCCCAAGTCTGGCCCTGCTGTGAGTCAAAGTTGGGGGAATTCTGCTCAAACCCTCACTGTGCAGATGAGGAAATGGAGGCAGGGGAGTCGTCCCAGGTTACACAGTCAGTGGGTAGCTGGACTCGAGCTAGAACCCAGGGCCCAGGAACCACCCAGCGCTCTCTCTGCACCTCCACCCCCAACCCACGCTGCCCCCTGGCCCTGCCCTGATTTCTCCCTTGGCCTCGAATGGCAGTGCTCTAACTTCAAGTTGGGGGCAGTCTTCCCATGTGTGGAACAGGAGGGGACAGGAGACGCTGATCGCTAAAGGCGCTGCCAGCCCTCCCGGGGCGCCGAGAACTTTGACTTTGCTCTTCCTCTTTCTGGGTTATTTCTTCATACTTCCTGGAGCCAGAGTAGTGAAGAAGGCGGAAATGGCAATGCAGGGGTGCCCCTCTAGTCTCCATGAAACGGGCCCGGCCAATCAATGCAGAAAATATCTCGACCTACCCCTACCCCTAGGCAGCCTTGACCGGTCGGAACTGATAACTACCTCATTTCCTGCAGTCATTCACATGCAATTAGTGAGCACCTACTGTATGCCCGGGTGTAGGTCAGAGGTGAGTCGGGGTGCCATCAAGTTCAGTCTAGTGAGACAGTTGCGTGCCTACGGTCAGGGCTGTGATGGGGATGACAGCAGGGTTGGGGGCACCCCTACCCACAAAGCCCTCCCGGACGTGTGCTTTGATGCTTCAAGTGCCACTTCCAGAGTCTGTAGATTCCAGAGAGGGGACACCTGGGCTGTCTCCTACCTTGCCAGTAACCTGCTATGTGACCCTGGGCAAGTACCTCTGCTTCATTGGGGCCTTGGTTTTCCTGACAGGGACGATTCCAAAGAGGGAGCATTTGGGGACTCTGCCGGGGTGTCTATAGAAGTCTGCAACTCATTCCTTTTGCTTAAGCTGGGGTCACAAACCTAACGCCCTGAAGGCCAGGCAGGTGACAACACTGAGAAGGGGGGGACCGTGGGCACTCATGTGACTCCTCGGTTCCAGATAGCTGTTGCCATGGGGAAGATGGGCCCAGGGTTTCCACATCGTCAGATCTTTCAAGAAACACTGGAAATATCAATTTATAGATGAAATCTCTAACCTAAGGCGTAATACTCTGAAAACACTATGTGGGCTGAATGAAACACACCTGCAGTCTGCACTCCCCTCCAGCTGGCGCCACTGGTTTGACTTTAGGGTGATGACATGCGCACCTTCAAGGGTGCTGGGCCCTGGGCACCTTGTCAAACACAATGTAGTGTTAACCAGCTCTTGTCTCGGCAGCTCTGGGAAGAGAGAAAGATGGGACCCCTGGGGCTTCGTGGGGGTCACCACAGAAAGGGCAGGGGAGGCTGTAACCAGGGGTGCCCCCATCCCGCCAAAGGGACCTGGGGCCAACACTGGACCCTGTTTGACAGGCAGACAAGAGGCCAGCAGAGGGCAAGGCTGGGAGCCCGCTCAAGGGCCGACTGGTGACCTCATGGCGGATGCCCGGGGACCGGCCCACGCTGTTCAATCCGTTCCTGCTGTCTCTGGGGGTCCTCAGGTGGCGAAGGGTAGGCTGGCTCCAGCGGGGGCTGGAGGGGTGAGGGTGGATAGAGATGGGGACGGGAGGGAGGAGGGGTGGTGTTAGGCAAAGGAGAGAGTAGGGGCTGAGGAGGAGGCATCTGGGACCCTCGCATGGAAGGAGAGGTGGAAGCAGAGTGCTTAAGCTCCCCCTGGTCTCAGCAAGCGAATGGGTTTCCCACCTCCGGGGCAGGCTTGGGGGCTGCTTTCAGCTTTCCAAGTGAGAGATGATGGAATAATCTACACAGCTGAAAGCTTCTAATCAGCAACCTCTCGCCAGCCCTCTGCCGCAGGGGAGCCAGGTGTGGGGGAAGGGAGGGCGTGCTTAGGAGTGGCTCTGGGATTGCAAAGTGTGTCTCAGACCTGGGCCTGAGCCAGTTTCACAAACATCTGGCATTACGTAACCCATCCCCTGCCTGGAGAGGTCTGGAAACACTCAAGCCTCTGGCTGGGTTTTCTGTAAGGGCAGGGAACTGACACCCGCTCCCTCCCACCCACTTCACAGCAGGACAGAAGGGGCCTGGCCATTTCCAGCGGCCACAGGCTGGCTCAGGGGGTCTCTTCTCTTGGTGAGATGCTCTCTTACTCACTGCTGTTGGCTCTGGGTCCAGCATTAGGCTGGGTACCTCAGAGATAGTGTGTCTATTTTACAGATGAAGAGACTGAGGCCCAGGGTGGTGAGCTGACTTGCCTAAGGTCGCACAGCTTGGGGTATAAAGGAGCCGATTTTCCTCATTCTCAGATGAGAGAAGGGTTGCAGTGAAACTCACTGAACCTTGGTCGCCATATCTCTCTATTAGGAAAAAGTCTGTGGAGGCTCTGAGGGCTGCAGAGAGGGCTCAGGGAGATCGGGACGCAGGGGGGTTGCAGAGCTGTTGTTGAAACACTAACTTTTCCATCCATTTCAGAATTTCCTGTTTTTGTTGTTTTTTTGAGAAAGAGTCTCCATCTGTTGCCCAGGCTGGAGTACAGTGGTGAGATCTTGGCTCACTGCAACCTCCGCCTCCTGGGTTCAAGCAATTCTCTGCCTCAGCCTCCCCAGTAGCTGGGATTACAGGCGCCTGCCACCATACCCGGCGAATACAAATAATTTTTAGTGGAGACAGGGTTTCACCATGTTGGCCAGGCTGGTTTTGAACTCCTGACTTCAAGTGATCTGCCCGCCTTGGCCTCCCAAAGTGCTGGGAGTACAAGCATGAGTCACCCTGCTGAGACCGGAATTTCCTTTCCCTGCTGTTTGGGGTTAAGGCACCAAGGGTGAGCAGGCAAGCATGGTTATCTGAGTAGTGTGGTACCTTTAAGCCATGGGCAAGAATTACCTTATCAAACTAACTAAAGGTCACCAACATACAGCAGGTCTGGCCGTGGGGCAGTGGGAGGCGTGGGAGGAGGAGACAGGCTGTATTTTTCAGTCCTGCTCTTCCCCCTACAGCCTTCTGAAAAGCCAGGTGTGGCAGGGAGTGTCTGTCGGGCAGCCTGGAGCCCCCAAGTCTGGCCCTGCCATGAGTCAAAGTTGGGGGAATTCTGCCCAAACCCTCATTGTGCAGATGAGGAAATAGAGGCAGGGGAGTCATCGCAGGTTACACATCCCTGTGGGGATTCCCAGAGCTGTGTGCAGGAGGGCTCAGCGATCAGAATATGAGGCAGTGATGTAGGGAACATGTTAGAAGCACTGGGCTCTGAGGTCAGCCAGAGCAGGGTTTGAATCTCAGCTCTGCCTCTTGCTCCCTGTGTGACCTGGAGCAAGTGGCCCTCCCTATCTGAGCTTTACTTCGTCATCTGAAAAATGGACAATATAAGTCTATCTGTGCCTGGGAGTGCGGATCAAACGCAATCAGGCTCGCCACGCAGTGAACACGGAGCTGGGCATGTAGTAAGCGCACAATCGCCAGCATCGTTATTCCGGGGTGCTTTCCCCGCTTTGCTCCTCCCCTGCTCTACCAAGGACTTACCTGTGCCTACCACATGCCCAGCTCCGTGTTCACTGCATGGCACACCTGATTGTGTTTGATCTGCACTCCCAGGCACAGTTAGACTTATTCATTTTACAGATGACGAAGTGAAGCTCAGAGAGGGAGGGTCACTTGCTCCAGGTCACACAGGGAGCAAGGGGCAGAGCTGAGATTCAAACCCTACTCTGGCTGACCTCAGAGCCCAGTGCTTCTAACACAATCCCTATATCACTGCCTTCATATTCTGATCTCTCTGAGTCCTGCTGCAGCTCTGGGAATCCCCACAGGTTTTTCCCATTGGCAAGATGCAGCAACTAAGGCTTGGTGAGCTGGGCTGCAGTGGCTCTCTCATGTGGGAGTGAGGGAAATGAGGAGCTAGGGATGGAACTGCCAGCGGGGCCTCCTACTTATACACAGCAGATTTAAACTTCTCTTGGGCTGAAGCAGTGAAATTAGCCCAAGCCAAGAGCCAAAAAGCCTGGCGTCGAGTTCTGGCTTGGCCCCTAACTTGCATGCTCTTCTCTGAGCCTTACCTTAATTTTAAATATATACATATTTTTTGAGAGATTCTCGCTCTGTCGCCCAGGCTGGAGTGCGGTGGCACGATCTTGGCTCACCACAAGCTCTGCCTCCTGGGTTCAAGCAATTCTCCTGCCTCAGCCTCCCGAGTAGCTGGGATTACAGGCATGCACCACCACGCCCAGCTAATATTTGTAGTTTTAACAGAGACAGGATTTCACCACAT